TGTGTTTCTGAGTGTATGTCTGTGTATCACATAAAGCAGGAACCTGTGGAGGTCAGGAGACACATCAGACCCTCAGGAACTGGAATTACAGACAGCCATGAGCTGAGATGTGTGTGCTGGGAACCAAACCCAGGTCATCTACTTATCCTATAACCACTAGCCCTTAGCCAGGTCTCTAGCTCCCAACAACTTGCAATGCTGATACAAGACTGAAAACTAACCTGGCTATCTCTTCTCGATGAGCAGTCCAGTCTCGGATATAGTCTTCCTGTTCTTTAATTCGGTGCTTGAATGAAGAACTAGCAGGCATTGCTGATCCAGTGCTCTGCATGCGAGTGGTTTTCAGGGCTGGAGAAGTACGTAGACGAGTATGTTTAGGGGAATTACGGTTTGATCCAAATTCATCTTCTGAGGTGGAAGCATAATCAGTAGGAAAGCGCCTCCATCTTGAATTTACTAAATTAGTTTAATTATTAAAAAAAGAATTATTATGTTATCATTTTAAAAAGATAAAATAAAAATCATGATTTCAAAATCACCATGAGAGCTCACACACAGCACAATTTTCATTAACTGACATATACACACCTCACAAAAAATTGTAGTCTACTACTCCTTAAGATAGAAACATTATACTTTGGTAAATTAAAAACAATGAATAATCAAAAACAATTGAAAGACTTTTTTTATAGTGTAGTGAATAAACATTCAGATGAAAAAGTTCACTAATGATAAACTACTAAGCAAGCTCTAGTCATAAATGCTTAATGTGGGTGTTTTTCAGTTGCAAATATTGCTTGAGTAGAGATATGGATGCTTTTTAAATGACAGCAACAACACTAACACAACAAAAATAAAAAGGGAAAAGATTTCCTCATGCCACATGGACACACGGAGATGATGAAAACCCTCTTTTCCCAACACACAAATGTGCATAATTCCTGTGATAGAAATTATGTCTTTATGGCAGAAAAAAAAAACATTACCTCTGTCATTCAACATCCTGTTACGCTATGGTTGGAAAAAATCTTTTTACATGGTAAAAAACACAACAAAGCATCTTCAATACAACTCTTTGCTGCTTTAACACCGAAAACACACGATCAAAATAGACAATGGTGTAAAGTCTACAAAGCATAAAACTACAAAAGCTACTCTCACAACCACTGACATTTAAGGCACAAGAGATCATTTAGATAGCAACATTAAAGTGGCAATTACTTTCTCATTTACAGTTAGTAAAGACATTTAAAAATGTTATTGTTGACACACTGAAAATCAGAAGACAAATTAATGTAGACATTTTACTAATACAAGAAATTTGTAAAGTAGAAACAAGTGAAGAACAGAGAGGATAATGTCTAATTCATGGTAAATTTCACAAGGGCAGGAAATATTTAATTAATAACTAATATATACCTAGCACTTGGGTCAAGTATCTGGCTAGCAAGTGCTAATAGTTTTGAATAATGAATACATTCCTGGATAGATATCATTGGCATTTATAAAATCTAGAATCAGGAGATGCCTTTGGTATTCAAAGTGACAAAAAATATTCAGAAACTACTGCAATTCCCAACTGCCACTAATATTATATAAATTTCTCTCCTTTCTCCTCAATCCTGAACTTGGCCTACTCCATACAATATGGTAAGTGAAGCCCAGAATTTCCTCATCCTCCACTAGAATTTGGTACTTTTCCTGAAATCTCTTCCCAAAATTGTATTTTTCTTGAAGTCAGCTGATTCGTAGATAAAACTGGTATCAGTGCCATCCACCAGAGATGGATTAAAGCAGAGAAATCTACAGGAAGAATATGTAATAAATCAGAGCCCACTCACGTGTACTCATTAATATCCCTATTTGCAGCTCCTGGGCTAGGATCTAGATTGATGGGTACAAGAGAACAAGCCAATGCAGAGAAAGTTCAGGGGTCACTGTAACAAGTATATAATACTTGCTTGTTTTTCCTGAAGGGGGATGTGATAGTTAATATTTCATTGTTAATTTCACAGGATTTCCAATCATCATGGAAACACAACTCTGGGGTGTTTCTGAGCATGTTTCTAGAAAGGTCTGACTGAACATGGAAGAGTGACTCTAAACTCATGAGCTGGAGTCCCATATGGGAGAAAAAAAAAAAAAGAGGAGAAAGTGGGATGACAGGGGAAATAGAATATAAAAGGTTTTCTGATTTTACCTATTCAGATTAAATAAAAAAATACTTTCATTCTTTTGAATTGTCTGTTTATAGAAATACATTTGATTTATATAATTAGGTTCATTTGACAGACTGATCTTATGAAGGCACTTAACAGATCACTAAATTGAATATCTATACTGAGAATGTTTGAAATAATCAATTTCTAATTTGTTGGTTGGTGAAGCACTAGTTTATTATACATATTAAAATGAGAGCAAGATCATTTTAAACTTGGAAGTTGCAAGAAACTGATTTATTTATAACATTATTAATTTATTTTAATATAGCAAACAGAATGTGTCTTGAAGGTGCATAACATATATGTATTTATATATTCCTTTGAAATGAATTATTTGTTTTTTAATTTGACATTTTTTTCTTGCTGAAGGTGCAAACTATGTTTACTACAAAAATACTATTATCCATGATATCTAGAATAAAAAAGGGTTTATTAGTACATAGCTGTGAATGCTCCTTTTTTAATTTAACCAAAGCTATATTGATCTTAAAATGCAACTACAGATTTTTAAAAAAAGGTCAGAAAACACATTTTATTTTCATTATATATCAGAGTATTTTAGAGGGGAATTAAAGCACAAATTTTGTTGTATATATTTACAAGCATTGTATATATTTGGGGAGAAAAAAATTCTCTGAGAATACTTTGTATTTTTGTTCTTCATTGGAAGGAAGAATTAACAAAAGCCATATATGCCTGTTTAATTTATACTATTTTAATTTTGAGATTTAGAATTAAAAGGAAAATATTAAAGAAAAAATTTAAAAATATTAACATCACTTTCTAAACTGTACACTCAAAATAATGAGCACCTGCTACTTTCTTAGAAGTGGTGGTGCAGCTCTTCATAGCAGTATGCAGCCTTTAGTGACAGGGTCCTGCTCTACAGTCCAAGTCTTAAACACACTAAATAGCCCAGGTTGGCCTAGACTTTACTGAAGTCCTGGGATTATGGGTGTTCACCACAGCAGCTGGTCAGCTTCTTTATTTTGATCACTTATAGCCCTTACTTTTAAACACCAAAATATTGAACAAAATAAACATGGGTATTTCCACTGTCACCAAAAGAATATTGGAGAAAGGCAAGTCATTAAATCTGTGGAAGCAAATATACCAGAGACACATAAAAGAATTGCTACCAATGTTGCTAGAAATTTTCAATCATCAATGCTTACCATATTAAACGAAAGAAAAACCTGCTAACAACTTAGTCCAAAATACTGAATCAAAATCATTTTTACATATGTCAGTATGTATAGTATCACAGGTGGTAGATAACTTCAAGATCTTTAAAGTTCACATGGAGAATAGAAACATTGACCAGTATGATTCCATGTTCTTTTAAGCCTTATTTTCTTCTCTTTTCCCACTCAAGATAATACAATTAACTTAAATAGAAATGTTATAGCATCAAAGACATTCAACTGTTAAAACCAAACATAAATCTTTTAGTAATCATTCCATGCAACAACTAGTATGTTCTTCACTGACATGGACTGGATAATATAGTAGGATTTCAATGATTAAGTGAACAACACCCAAACTATTATATTTCATATTCACCTTGTATATACTTCTACTAATAAGATACTAGCTGTGTTCTGGAAGCTAGCATATAGTTCCATTTCTTAACAGTAGAGTAGTAACAGCTAAGTAATAAAGGCCTTGAATTCTCATTCTGCCCTAATATTGGCCAGGGAGGTTATTTCATCTCCTGGCCCCAGATGCCTAGCTAGCTCTTAAATTCCATAAATTATATAATGTCCGACTGTTAAGTATAAAGAATGAAAGTAACAAATTTCCCTTGGGAATTTCATTAAGGAATTCCAAGCTTTTTGATTTGTTTTAGATAAAGAAAAATGAGTATCAAGATCTGTATTCAAAGTAGAAATCAAAATTAGTCTGTCTATATATAATATGAAATCTATTTGTTTTTCAGACTTGCCAAGTGGTTCTATTTAGACCACACCTTAAATAAGACCCTCATGCTAAAGAATAAGGAATAAAGCTAGATTATCCATGTGGTAAGAGCTAGTCAACCAGCAGAGAAGTTACTTCATGCTCCATGGTAACACACAACTTATATCATTGCTCACGTTAGGATGGGAGGAAACGTAATTGTGTGAACGTGCTTAAATGGAGGTGAGGTGGTAAAACAAGCAGTGTTTCCAAGGAAATCAGTGTACACACCAGCATGTGAAGCACAAAGGGAATGAACTCAGAAGGGAGACCGTAAGAAACAATGAATAACAATACCTAGCAACCAATTCATTAACAATCAAGACTGGCATGCAGAAAGAGACCAGAATAACAAAGAAAATATCACTGATCCTTCAAGAAGCACGATTGTATATTCTCTAGTTTCTGTCTACATCCAGTCCTACCACAGTCTGTGACTGTCATTACCAAAGCCACTGACCACTGGAGATGGAAAGAAACTAGAGTGGAGGAAAGCAGCAGTGAAAAGGAGGAACCAAAAGTGAGAAAAACAAAAACAAACCAAAATAACATTTACAAAGTGCTACTGGTTTTCAGTCATGGAGGATGTATTACAAATAAGCAAAAATAAAGGAAGATTAAATACCAATGTTCCTCCACTAAAAACTCAAGAGTCAGGCTCACTTAGCTTGCTGGTAAATAATCATCAACCTTCAAGTCTTCAAACAACTGGTCGACCCTTGTGGCCTTCTCAGCCACACCCACACATGCAGCTGATTGTGAGGTAATCAGAACATGCTTATTACATGAGGATATACACAAATAGCTAGCTGTCTCACTGCTGTGGTCACACACTCTCAGTGGCTTCAGCTGAAGTACACACAACTAAGCCAATAGCATTTCAATATTGGCAGACTGTAAGTAGTGATTGCAATCATATTCAGTTAGGTAATTACTACAGTTAAATGCTACAACAGGACTTCGTGAGATAATGCTCACAATTAATTAACTTTCCAATTTAGTTTAGCTCACATATACTTAGTGACTGCCCCATGAATCTGCTTTCTTCCACTGAAATAAGTGAAGAGTTAATTTTCAAGAGCTCCAACCACAGATGTGTAAGTATATGAAACATGTTTTTTTTTTTTTTTTAAATCAGCTATTTATTTCCAAAAGGACTGAAAAAAGGTTTATTGCTTCTCTTTGGGTTCATAAGAAATTTGAAATACCTGATTCTAGAGGCATAACATTATTTTTAGAATAGACAGTGATTCCTAATATAATTCTGACAAGCAAATCCAATTATTATCAAATAAAAAATTAAAAACTCCTAAGTCTGTTCAGTTAATTTCTTATTTTGAAATCACTACTTTGTCTAAGACTTCAGTTGGAAGTACACTGACTTCTGAACTTTACATTTTAATGGAGGAGGGGACATTAACCCTCTAATTTTAACCTTGTTCTTGAATTATTTTGCTAAGACAACTAGAAATCCTATTTTTAAATAAAGAGCACACACAGAGAACATGCTAATGTTATTAGAAATCTGGATCCAATTACCTGACGGAGAGCCATGAGTGGAGGTCACGCTTTTGACCTTGGAGTCCGACAGCCGTGAGATACTGTTAGCTCTAGTTCTAGGAGAAAATTTATCTGATGGCACTAATCTGGCTCCACTCCTAATGATGGCTTCTGCAGTGCGTGAAGAGGCACTACTTCTTGATATTGTTGCTTCCGAGTCACTACGGGCAGACAATGAGCCAAGTCTTGTTCTTCGAGGCTGAGCCAATAAATCAATCCGAGAGATGGTTCGCCTTCCTGTGGGTGGTTTTGATGTGGAACTTGTGGTGGAGACTTCAGAAGCAACAGATGCTTTGTCAGCATCAGCAAGTTCACTGTCGGAAGCTTCACCTAGCCGGGCTCGACGCAGGAGGGAAGTCCTGGTGGGCCGTGGCCTTGGGAGAGTGGTCGATTTACTTGATGAACCAGGGGCAACAGGAGAAGTCTTTGACTTTGTTCCTTTGCCTCCTTCCAGTTTGGAATGTATGTTGTGCTCATCAGCTGAGGTAAGCGGAGTCCTTGCATGAGATTTACAGGAGTATGTTTCCTGGTCAGATGACATGATGTCAGAGATAGCAGAATGAGGGACACTAGAGGTCTGGTCGTCATCTGTCAAGTCTACGGAAGGCTGCCGGATTCTTCCACTGGACTGGACAAATTTTCGACCATCTGCTCTTGCACCTATATCTGTAGAGCGGCTTTTTGCCTTCTTTTCAATTTTCTCCCTAGTGCCTGACTTTGTAGCATCTTTGGAAGGGGAACTTGTGGAACACCTGTCTTTATAGAGACTAGTGAAGCTCTTCCGCTTTTGGGTGGACTTTCTTTCTGTCTCTCCAGTAACCAGACTAATTGTACTGGCTGTGTCTACATCAGATTCTGGTGAAATAGAATTGTCTCTATTGTAACTAGGAGTATCTGGGCCTTCATCAGTTTTATTATTATCTTCACGTAGTTTAGCTTCTAGAAAAGCCATCACTGCTTCCGTGTCTTTTAGAATCAAGGTTGTGTCCATGCTAGAATCAGTATCCAAAGAGTCACTCCTTTCTCGAAGTCTACTTGCAGATGCCAATGCTAAAGAAGTGGGAACAGATGAATTCTGCTTATTGATATGGGGAATAAGTTCTATGGGTACGTTGGAACTGGGTTTTTCTATGGTGAAACTCCCTTGACGCACTAACGACTTGGAGGACTCTTTCTTGTCTCCTTTTGAAGTCTGACTTTTTGGAATTTCTTCAGCTTTTCTTCTCTTGCTTTCATTTTGTATTACTCTTTCTCCTCTGCTTGTAGAATGTCCTGAAATTTTTTCTGCAAGTTGGGACTCTTGCTTAGAAGACTCCTCTCTATATTGATCTATGTGGCCTGAAACACTTTTTGAAGACAATTTAGTAGGAGTCCACGGGGCCTGCTCCCTCTGCTCCTGTTGTTGCTGGATTTTAGCTAATGTTTGTTTGACCACAGAAGTCTCTTTATCAGCTCCACTCTTCTCTTTGCTAGAAGAGCTACCGGAGTGGAGGAGGGCTTTACTGTCGCCACCAGTGTTAGGAATCTCACCATTGACCGCCCTGTTCAGCGGACTCAGGCCTCTGTCTGTGTCGTGCTTCTCGTTCTGGTGTACCTGGGCAGCTGCTTCTTTTTCCTGCAGTTCCGTGTCTTGCTTCTCTCCTATCTCCGACCTCTGTGTTACTACCTTTGCTCTGGAGCCCTCCAGAGGCTTCTCTTCATTTGGGAGCTGAGGAAGAGTTCGCCTCTTTCTCTCTCCCTGACTTCCCAGGGAAGCTGCAGAGCTAGTACTTCTCAGTGAAACACCAGTATCTGTCTCTATAAAACAAAAGCACCAAAGCAGGAGGTCATTAGTGCAAAAGGACACAAATAAAAGGAATGCTAAATTATACTAGAGTTTGAAATATGAGTTTAAAAATAACCTCACTATAAAATGAATGCCATCATTATGGGAAATTTGTACTTCCGGGGGGAGGTGGTAGGCAAAACAACTTAGCCCCCAGCAACACATTAATAGAAATCTATCAATCAAAAAAATGTGAAAATAGCAAAAAATGTGACAAAATATGTCATAATTTTATATACCAAGTGACTTTCAAACTATAATTTTCTGGTATATTAGGGCAGCTTATAAAAGTAAATGACTACTGCCTTTTTCTCAACTTAGCAGATCCCACCGCAAAAGTAAATACTTTGAAGCAACACTGCAGAGACAAAACAAATTTGCTCGTATTAAAAACTTTTGGGGGCTCTCTAAGTGAGTCTTGACTTGTGTAAAACTAAGTGTAAAAAGTTCAAGTGTAAATTGACAATTTAGAATTCTACATATTTATGGAGCACACAGGGTGACATTATTACTTACGAACATAATGAAAAAAACTAAATCAATATTTTGACAACTTAATTCATAATATAAATTCACACATACATGGCTCATCTACATATTATCACCTTATCTTTAGTTTATGATTATACTGTAACGATAGTGGCATATTTTCTAATAGACTGGCACATCAAGAATGGAATTTTTTTACTGAAAAGCAAAAACATGAAGCTTTAAGGTTATAAATGAATAGCAAGAATTTACAGTAAAAAAACAAAACCAGAGTGTGTGAAAATGAACTGCTAAATCTTAGCAAGTATCCTTTTGTCTTTGGAAGGTTCAACTTATGAACCACACCAAAGTTTTTAAGGGAAAAGGTCTTGGGTATGGGTAGTATAACATTGCATCTTATGTAACATATAGCATGAACTCCTCAGTTTACTTCCAACACTGCAGAAAAAGAAAGACATTATTATTTACTTTACTGCTTATAAATTCCTAAAATACAAAATGTTAATTAAAACCTAGCATTTTCCTTAAATTCAACATACTGTTCAAACATGAGGATATATATGTTCAGCTAAGCTGAATTTACTTCTTACTATATTAAGTTTAGCTTTCGTTTTTAAAACACACATGATCTATTACAAAAAAAAAAGGCAGAAAAGGTAAAAATGGAGTAGGATGAGAAAAAAGAAATTACCATTTTCTACAGTTGCAGACAATTCCATTAACCTTTCTTCTGGATCATGCCTTGTATGATTAGCAGCCAAACTAGCCCATTGTGAAACCCAACGTTTGCTTCCAGATGAAGATATCCCTTCCTAAAGGAGGAAGATAGAATGAGACAATGCAGCAGTCCTGCCAATGTTGAATCTCATGAAAGAGAACTTCATGCAGTCGCATCATGTGACACCAAAGCCATATTTGAAGCTCAGCTTGTCAGGCTTCATTCAATGTCTTCCTGTCTAAGAGGAAGATTCTCTAGATGCCCCTTTCAAGCAGATTTTATCATTACTGAATTTAGTCTATCATTTCCTGTGCTTCTTAGACAATGAGAGTACCAGGTCCACTCCAGTTTACTAAACATCACAGCTCTGCAGCTGGCATAGTAGAGTCCGTTTGATTCCATTAAAAGGAACAGAGTTTAAAGAGTTATTAAAGTAACCAGCTAGTCCTCTACTTTCTAGAAACTCAGGCTGACTCCAGGTCTCAGGAACTATCAAATATGCTAGATCATGTCTTAACAGATTTCAAGAACCCAAAGCCTGAGATTTTTATGATATTTAAGCTGAAAATAACTCTCTATGAATTTTTCTATATCCAGACCCATTTATGTTTAGATTTGTATTTAAGACAAATGTTTTTTGAACCCTTCTAGAAGTGTAGAGGTCCCTTAACTCATGAACACACCACTGCATTTCTTAAGCCAGGGATAATATATCTCTCAAGCCTTAACCAGAGGTGAGAGCAGCTTGGGAAACCTAGTGAAGTTTAAAAAAAAAAGTGGTGGTGGTGGTGCTGAGGATATCTAATTCTGTGGTAGAGCATTTGCTCAGCACCCCCCTCACCTTGAGGCCAGGTTCAATCCCTAGTAGTACAACAATAAAATGACACCTCTCACCCAAAACTTGGCATTCACACCAAACTGAAATGCCAAGTAGGAAATGGAAAACTGTAACAGAAAGTTTATTTTGAGCTATTGAAAACATACTTTATTTAAAAAAAAAAAAAAAAAAGCCCAAGTTACTTTGTTAATTATGAACAGGCTAAGGTTAGATACTGGTCAAGTAATGATTTCATGCGGATAATACATTGTATGGTTTCAAGAATAGATTAAAATAGTCAAGTACAGAAAATAATGTATATAGATAAAAGGACACCAAAGCTATCTGACATCTTTAACTCCCTTCCAAGCCTTGCAGTACCTGCCCACAACTCTGAGCACTAAAAGCAGTGCCCAATCATCCTGTACTATGCTGAGAAAATCCACAACACAGCGGTTTCACCACTACATACTTACAACATGCCATTCTTTGTTCTAATAGCCTGTTAGTCGATGGCTGCAAAGGCAGGAACTTATTGGAGCTATGTGAATTTTACTTGGCAGGGATTGAGGAAGAAAGAAAAAGTAATCTAAAGTAATTCACAAAAACCTTTCCCTGGATTTATCCAAATATCAACACACTGCCTGATATCATTACTATTATCACCTTTTCTCAGGGAGTAAATCAAACAGAAACTAGAAAACTCTCTAAAGGGAAAATACAGGGCACTAAAAAGCTGTAAATGCTTTGACAATTTTCAGAAAATGGCAAATCACAGAGGAATAGCTTTAACTATTCAATGAACATATTTATCTGTCTCTAAAGCCATTTATATTTGTAGGAATATAAGTGAAACAGTAAAGCTACATAACTTGATTTTTTTATTTACATTTTATATTTATCCATCATTCACTATTATAACTAACTCTTCCTTTGAGAAACATAACCTAATGAGTAAGATAATGAACTAAGAAAGCAAGGTCAGCCTGGGGAGATGGCTCCGTGATTACAAGGATTTGCTGTACAAGTCTGACAACCGGAGTTCAAATTCCCAGCACCCACATAAAAAGCTGGGCATGGCTGTGTGTGCCTGTGAAAGTCCCTGTCCTAAAGGAATAAGGCAGAGAGGTAATAGAGATCTGTGTGTTTCTCTGGCTCCCACATGCATGTGCAACACACACACACACACACACACACACACACACACACACACACACACACACACACACACACACACACACACACACACACAATCTCTCCCCAAATTTAAAAAATAAAAATAACCAAAGGTGTAAATTCTGGCTCCACATATGACTCGATTTAAGACTCCAGCCAAGTTAATTTCTATGCACTGCATTTTCCTTATTTGTAAAACAACTTGAAAGTTTCCTTCCACTGAAAGTTGCTGCTTAATATCTAAATAACACATCCAACTTTGTTACAAATATTTTATATTTTCTTTTTTTCACTGTTTTAAAATTTTTCTATTCATTTTACATACCAACCTCAGATTCCCCTGTCCTCCCTCCTCCCACCCCCCAGCCTTCCCCTGCAACCCATACCCCATTTCCACCTCCTCCAAGGCAAAGTTTTGCTACATAAAATCAAGTGGAATTTTGATGTCATTTTGTCCTCATTACATCCTGGCTGGTACCACAATGGCACTTACTGCAGTGTGTAAGTTGTACCTTTCACATGTTTCCTGCTGAGCTCGTTCCTCTAATTCCAAAGACATACCTCCTAGAAAGTATAAGCAGTGTATATTTCTTGTTTTGTCTCGTTGTGCTACTTACAAAAAGGGATATGTAGTTTATTACTTGTTTGCTGAATTGTAATTATTCTCCTAACTTTGATAGAACAATGAAAACTAAGAACTAGACCAAAACTGCTTTATATTTTCATTCATTCAAAACAAAAAATTAGTCAAAATTTAGTTTTTGAACTATTTCACAAGGGGATATATATCAACACTTAAAATAACTTCCAAAGGATGAAAACTTACATTTTATGCATATAAAAAGGATTGCATACCTCTGAGTTATGAAACCCAGGTGTGCTGAATGGCTTTCTTTCTTCCATTACTACTGCAGCAGAGTTGAGAGCCCAATCTTTTATCAGACCTTTATGCTTTTCATTGATAATAGGCCTATTATAATCCTGATTGTCATCTACTCCAAATACCTAGGAGGAAAATTTTGTTTCATAAAGAAAATGAAAGTGTGGGTACCAGATTAGTATGTGAATATCATCAACAGCATCAGAAGCAAATAAAAATATCCTAAATTAACCTCACCTAGCAATTTCAGAAACAGGGAAACTTATTTAACAACAGGGTGACTCCCCAGCTGGACTGGACAAGAAGTCAACAGCTGCAGATGTGGCTATCCTCTTTAATAGTTAGCAAATATTCTGGTTGATTAAACGAAATACCCAGAATACAGTAGATTTACTGACTGACTTAATGATGTAAACATTACAATCATGAGGAGTCAGAAAAGTACTTCAGCATGTTCTCAGCTTGTGTCTTGTTTCTATTTTAGAAAAGCACATTAAAAAAAGAAACATATGCCTCTTCTTTATTTACTTTTGTACTTTTGTGTACATATATAACTTACATTTATACATATAATTTCCTAAGGTGCCAAACAAGATTTTATTGTATGATTTTCACAAAGTATAGCATTTTGTCTTGTAATTGTAGGTTGTGATTACCTAATTATAGTAGGTTCTTGGCCTACTCACATTGATCAACGTTATCAATAAGTAAATGACTGTCAATGGTCAACACAGAGACCAACAGTTATGTAATCGTATTTTCCCAACAAGCAAGACCCCAGAGTTAGTCATTTTCTGGCACATAAAGGGACCTGAATATAATACCTTGCAAACAAACTGGAAAAAAGCTATAGTGAATTACATTTAATGCTTTATTCAGTTTAATCTTTGTTCAGCTGAATGGATGAATGTCCCCCAGCTTTACTCAATACACTTACTGTATGGGGGCATTGATCATTACAGAAAAATATGTCCTTGAACTAGCAATCTGTGGAAATAAGCTTTGGAACCTTCGCTTCCTCTAAGGAAAACCACTTTCAGTGGGGCCCACTCTTTTCACGCTGATGCATGACCTTCTCATCACAAATGTGTTGGGTGGTATTAACAGCTCTACTGGGACATATGTAGCCCACAGGTTGTAGGATGGAAATGCTTGCTATACCAAGATACAGAAAAAGAAATTGATGGTCATATAATAATCTGATGAATTCTGAAATGTGCATTTAGTAAAACAGAGACCACATCTCTAAATTCAGTGAAATATGGAAAATTTGCCACTAAATGGCTTTATTGCTTAACTTAATTGAAATACAGTTTCTGAAGAATTTGGTTAGAATTATCATTGCTTTAAGAACAGGTTGCACATTATTAACTTTAAGTTAAATGAGACCTTTAATAGTACATGGAAACCAAGGTATATATGGGAAGAAATAAAAATAGATTCTCTGCTTCATCCTGCCAAACATCAGAGTGAATTAGGCAATTAAGACAGTGAAGCAATGAGGGTATGTATACCTTTGTCTTGTGACTTTACCCTGATTTGTAAGGAAAACATTAGAGCTGAAGTGGCTGGTAGAAATAGTTTTTACAAAACAGTTCACTCCAAATTCACTGATTCATTTTGTTATGTTTATATTACCAGAAAAAAATAGTAACTCAAATTTGGAAGTACAAAAACAGCCACATATGATTCCTTACATTTTGTATCACTGTGGCATATCAATTTATATTTTCTGATTTGGTGATAGTTAACTGCATCAGTCATAAATTTGACTTCTTAAAATACAATCATTAGTGGTTTCTAATAAATATGGTAAACTACTTCAAAACACTTCTAATAAAAATGACTTGGCTACTGCATTGTTAATACACTAGTATTTTGAAAAGGTAACAAATTATACCCAGAACTGTGCTCTAATGGGAGCCGAAGGCAACAGATAGTACTCCCAGCGATTTTCTACACATCCCCTTTAAAGTATCAGAGACATACCTACTCATCTATCTGTTAGACATTTGCCAATTTCTTTACATACACGTGGCAGGGCAGGAAAAATTCCAGGGTGGCAAAAAAGTTTTGAGATTTCACAGTTATGATTTAGTTTAATTAATTTACTAATAATTGAGGCCTAAAACTCACCACATTCTTCGTTTGCCTCAGCTTCTCACGTGTTGTCATTACAGGCATGAATAAGCCACCATAGCCAGCGTTTAAAACATATTGAAAAAACGAGTAAGATAGCCATGGCTAGTCCAGCTTAAACTAGTATGCATTTATGTCTGTGTGTAGGCACACAGACATTCACTTGTGACATCTTGCATGTAGAAACACAATGCAGTCAGTTATATTATCTATATACTCCAAGGCAGGCATGTTTTTTGCATTTCTAAAATACACACATTCTGACATATGATATAATAATGGTCTAGAACTCGAGAGTGCCTCAAACATGAAGATCAAATTTACAAGATTTTCCATCTTTCATTCCAGACTCTGTCACGAGGAGATTTCATCCATATGCATATCATTATTTGATTTACCAACTGTATAGAAAGTGGCTAACTTGTCATCATGGACAGCTCAAGATACTTCAAATGCAGTTTGTTAGCCTTAAGCTCATTACTTGCTCTCTGCCCTACTCTGGCTTGGTGTCAACCACAATTTCAAACTTGTTCCTAACAAAATCTGGCTCTGTCCTTCAGCCAGGACATCCTGTCTTTAGGCTACACATCCTGTCTAATCTGTATCCTTCCTTCCTAGAATCTTCACAGAGGCTTGCTGTTACACTTCTAATTCTCCCAGGACACACACAAAAGGAGCTCTTTGGGGTCTGACATAGTACTGAGATGACTCATGTATCTTAGAGGAGAAGAATGACATTCACATGCTACCTACAACTATTTCCTTGACCCAGGTAGGTATCTATCTGGGACACCTGTAACTGACCCCTCCAACATGTTCTAGTGTTGGGGGAAGAGGAAAGCACCTTTCACTCCACACTACCACACATTTCAATGAACACATTCTCAATCTTTACCTCACAGTATGGACATACCATTTTCACTATAGAATTTCCCACCTCTAGCTCAGTGGCTACTCTAAGCAATTAAAACAACTGACTGAGGCATGGTACTTACTAATTGTAGGCAATTAGGGTAGGCACTACAGGAGATTTAAAAATTTGCTAGGGTCTAACACACACACACACACACACACACACACACACACACACACACACACACACACACGAATCTAAAAGAACCATGCAGAAGCACTCATTATTAAACCAAACTCCTGTAAATACCAGACTTTTAGATTCCTGTCTCAATTTAGATTAACATAGATTAAAAAAAAAAACTACAGATAATAATGGACTGTGCTATATACAACACAAGTAAAGCCCATGATTTTGTGTTTTTCCACTACCAGGTTATTATTGTCATTATTTAAAAGACCAAACTACAGAGCACAGTTTCACACCTTTCAATTTAAAATGGTAATAGTGGGGCTAGGGACTAGTGGTACTCTATTTAAAGAGCTGATATTTTTTGGATATTTTATGGATACTTATATCACCTACTAAACAGGTGCACAGGTCAAAATTACACATAGTAATATCAGATTTAGGAGATTTGCTTATTGTAGCAGGAAACAGAGCCCAGTGTGAACAAAGGAACAAGAGGAGAAAACTATGTCATAATTAGAACAACCCAAATGTGGATAAAATGAGAATTTCATTGCATAATACTTCATTTATTAAATTAAAAGTATGATTATAGGTATAGATTAGTGGCAGAGTGCATATTTGATATGAATGAGGCACAGCACTAAAAAAAAGTCCTAATCAATTAAAATTTAGAATCTGTTTTCTCATAGAAATGAGAAAGCTAACAGTAAACAATGAGCTTTTGTAGGCTTACATTTATTAAAGGATGGTGAAGCACTAAGATTTTAATTCTAACAAGGTGTCAAAAATAAAAACATAGTCAAGTTTTAAACCAGAAAATTTCTTTCCCCAAGGAGCAAGGTCTACTGGGTAAGATGAGTAAGGTCTCCCTTTATAAGTTAAATCATTAGTATAGGGTCTGATACCTTACAAAAAACATTTGAGAAATAACCCATTAAGAACTATGCTGAACTCCAAGCATATAGTTTCAAAGAACTCAAGATGACTTTAAAAAAAGTTTAAATTTTTTTGTATCTAAATTTATAGTATTTTCCAGGAAAATATGACTTAACTTTTAAAAAGAAAAATACCTTAAATTCAATGGAATAAATGTAATGAAATTATTTAACACTGATTCTGATATTTGTAACTACCTTTTCAAATATAAAATTTGGATAAAATTGTTACAGGAGTTCTGAATGGGGTTAGGAGAGACCATTTACCAATTATTGTGTTATAAACATGCATTCTTGTTCACAGCATCATTATTTAATCAAAGATAGACTCAAAGTCAGCATCTGTCAATAGATGAATACATAAAAGGTTCTATTACAGAATGATTTATGATAAAAGAATGAGTAGCAATGCATATCACAACATAGATGAACCTTGAAGAGAATATTCAAAGTAAAACTAGCCAGTCATTAAAGGCCACATATAGAATGACTGTTTATATGACATATCCAGACTAAGTAAATGTACAGAGACAGAAAGCAAGTAGTTAGTTGCCAAGGAGTCAGAACAACGGGAAAAGACTACTTGAGTGCAATTTCTCATTAGAGTGATGAACACATTCTGAAGTTGGACAATACAATCATCACACAACAGTATGAATTACCACAGCTTCTAGACTGTACACCAACGTTTTACTTCTGAGAGCTGACTTTCAACTAATCATCATTCTGCCTCAGTTTACTAAGTCCTAGAATTATAGATACATATTATAACACCTAACTGAACTGCACACTGTCAATACTGAAATACCCAATTTTATGTGATGTGTAAAATTTAAAATTTTTACTGCCATTTTTAAAATAAGGTACTACATAACTCTATCTTTTCCTTGGTGCTTCTTTCTGAATAAAACCAGTTTCACTTCTTTGTTTTCTTTCTTGATTTAGGCTTCGTTTTCCTTCAACCCCCTGGCTTTCCATCACTTCCCACATCTTTCTCTATTGACTCCATAATTTCCCACAATGTTCCATTAGCTTACTGGATAAGTTCAAATTATTGATACATTTCATCTTACTGGTATAGTTAAAATTTCTAATTTCTCTACTTTTTCATATCCCACTTCACAAAATCTGGCTGTTTATCAATAACCACATCTCTTACCTTTGTGCCAAACAGATTTTAAGCTGGGGGTATTATCTATTGGTAGAGCTCAGCAGGCCCTCTAGTCTTCCACTACACAGGTACTTTTACTGAAATTAATATATTTTCTTTTCTTCTGACCCAATCTCTATTCATTTGCAGCTTTCAAAACTATTAACAAAGCAAAGCTTGCAACACAGACAAGTTATTTTGAGATCAAAACATTAAAAACTAGATTAAGGCATAAAAATATAGAAAAATAATTGCTGTGTAGTGGTGGCTCACCTCTATAATCCCAGTACTTGGGAGGCAGAGACAGGTGGATCTCTATGAATTCGATGCCAGCCTGGTCTACAGAACAAGTTCCAGCACAGCTAGAGTAGCTACACAGAGAAACCCTGTCTCAAAACACTAAAAGAAAAAAAGAAAAAATTTGGGGGTTTATCATGTTGGGTTTAACTAATCTATAAATTTACTGTAATACATTAGCTAATATATCAAAGATCATATAAATATATTAAATGAAAAAGCACATCAAACTTTCACATTCATGCTTTCAAAAGATAGTTTTGCTCTACTACAAAACAAGAGAGATCATTCTAGAGAGGCCACACAGAATTAAATCTGACAGAGGTTACTTCTATAGGGAAAAAGCACATGACAGACACCAATAGAAAGAAAGGTGGAATGCTAGTGGTTACTCTAGGGGAGTCAGATAAAGCCTTTTAAAAGTGAGTTACGTGATCACGGGATCAGGATCCGTCCCTGGTGCATGAGTGGGCTTTCTGGAGCCTAGTGCCTAAGGTGTGACACCTTGTGCAGCCTTGGTGCAGTGGGAAGGGACCTGCCTCAACTGAATGTACCAGGCTCTGCTGACTCCCCAATGGGAAACCTTGACTTGGAGGAGGTGGGAATGGGGGGTGGGGTAGGGGAAAGACTGAGGGACGGGAAGGTGGGGGGGAACCTGTGGTTGGTATGTAAAATGAATAGAAAATTTCTGAATAATAATACAAAAGTAAATTACAAGAATGGAGTTCCTGTTTTAGTAAGACAAAAATGAGTTATGGGAGGAGACTGGTGGGATGGCTAAGCAGGTAAAGGCTTTTATGCCTCACAACCTGAGTTTAATCCCATGACCTCAAAAGGTTGAAAATTGAATCCCCTCCAGCTTGTCTGACCTCTGACTTCTACATCCATGCGTTCTCTCTCTCTCTCTCTCTCTCTCTCTCTCTCTCTCTCTCTCTCTCTCTCTCTCACACACACACACACACACACACACAAGCACATACACAACCCCCCCCCACAGACACATGTAGTAATTGTTATTGAAATGGATGGTAGTCAGTTGTACAATGTTATAAATGTATTTAAAAACACTATACTATACAATTAGAATGGCTAAAATGATAAACTTAATGTTTATATATTTTACTACAAAACAATATTCAAAGAATAAGATGAATTATGAAGAAATAGGCATATAAGACTGAACAATAAGAGAAAAAACTCTTCACACAGAAGAATAAATCGACTCCATAAAACAACAAACAAAAGGAAACGTGGTAATCTACTAAATGTTAAGCTTCTAACAGACAAATCAGAATTCCCTCAGCCAGCTCTGAGGATTAGCATAGGATAGTTCCTTATACCCATAAGGAAATTGAAATGGTTAAAAAGGTTTGAGAATTAGACAGAAAAAAATGTATTTTTTTTCTCAAAAATAAAACAAACAAAAAACAGTAATGGGGAAAAAAGCGTTACCATCAAAACTCAAAATGTGAAATCTCTATGAAGGTACTTTGATAACATCTGAGGCTCTTTGAATTACTCCAATGGTTTCCATATACATCTAGACTTTTAAGTATATTTCAGTCTCTGCATCTATTTGGCTCAGTCAATGCAAATTCTCTGTGGTGTGTTTGTGTGTGCAAATAAGTGCTCATGTAGGCATGTGTATGTATGCATTCAGGTGCACATGCATGTGTGGAAGTCAGAGGTCAATATTGAATATCTTCCATGATTCCCTTCTACCTTAGTTTGAGACAGGACCTCTTACTAAACTTGGAGTTTATTAAGCTAGACTGATTGGCCAATGAGCTCTAACACAGGAGACTCTTGTCTCTGCCCTGTCAACACACCTCTAGCTCTGTGCTTACAGACATGTATTGCCACTCCTGGCTTTACATGATTGCTAAAGATCCAAGTTCAAGTCCTCATGCTTGTCCAATAAGCACTTTACTGACAGTGACCTTTCCAGCCCTCCAAGTTTCTGATTCTGGTTTATATCATGTTTTCCCTCGCTCTGATATAGATCCCATCTTGCAGAGCTGATGTACGGGATGAAATTCAAGAGGAGAAATCCTACTTTCAAATGCTCTCTAAAACAATCTCTATTTCTCTCTTTCGTTTAACGTCTATCTTCTCCTCTCACAGCAGGTTTTCCCCGTTAGCTAGGAAGGCTAGGATGCAGTATACTGGGTAAGGTGTGTGGTGGGAGGGCAAACTGCTAGCTGACTGCTTCTTTGGAAAGTGAACTATACACAGTCAACTTGGGGAGGGACAGGGAGACCATTATTACACTGGGAGATGACTGACTTTGATTCAAGAAATAAACAGCACATTTCTCCACAAGCTTAGATATAAAACCCACCAGG